ATGCTGAAGCGCAGTGGAACGATATAAAAGAATGCATGTTAGATACTATCAGTGATTTGGTAGGTAAAGTTGAGAAGATAGCAAGAAAACCATGGGTTACACAGGAGATGATGAGTAAAATGGAGGAGCGAAGGAAATGGAAGAATGTCAACAATGAAGAAGGCAGGAGGAAATACAGGAGACTGAGGAATGAATTGAAAAGAGCCACGGACAGGGCCAAAAAGGAATATCTTGAGAAGATATGTAATGAGATTATGGAATTTCAAAGAACAGGCCGTTATGATTTGATGTACATGAAGACAAAAGAACTAGGATGGAAAGAGAATCATGGGATTCAAAATGTTGGCATCGAAGACTCCCAGGGGAATAGAATAGTAGATCAGAGGCAAGTGCTGAAAATTTGGGAAAATTATATTTCAGAACTATATGATCGACCTAATCGGCCAGAAACCTTAGAAGTTGAACCGGAAGAAGAAGTAGATACAGACGAGAAAGGACCATATATTTTACAAAGTGAGGTGGAAAAAGCTATCAAGGAAATGAGGAAGGGAAAGGCTACAGGAGATGATGATGTACCTGGAGATGTGCTCAAGTTACTGGGAGAAGGTGGTTTGAAAACACTGACAAAACTAATGAACACCATATATGAAAGTGGAGAGTGGCCCAAGGACTTTACAGAAGTTACAATGATTGCCTTAAAGAAAAAGACAAAAGCTACAAAATGCAGCGACCATCGCACAATAAGTCTTATTGCACATACAGCAAAGATAATAGCAAAGATACTTAAAAGAAGAATTGAAAGGAAAATAGAGGATGTACTTGGAGAAGATCAGTTTGGATTTAGAAGAGGAAAAGGAACCAGGGATGCAATTGGGATGATGAGAATTATAGCGGAACGAACTTTGGAGATAGATGAAGAACTGTGTGTTTGCTTCATAGACTGGCAGAAGGCATTTGACCGGGTAAACTGGACCAAATTAATGCAGATCCTGAAAGAAACAGGTATCGATTGGCATGAAAGAAGATTGATTAGCAAATTGTACATGGATCAGAAAGTTAGAGTACGACTGGACAGGGGGGAGACAGGAAGTGTGCAGATTGGAAGAGGAGTTCGACAAGGATGCTGTTTATCACCAATTCTGTTCAACTTGTACAGCGAATGCCTTACCAAGGAAGCTCTGGATGGGCTCGGTGACTTCAAAGTAGGAGGGCAAATTATTCAAACTGTGAAATATGCAGATGACCTTGTGTTAATGGCTAAGGAAGAAACTGTGCTACAGGGCATGATTGATAGACTAATTGAAATTGGAAGGTGCTATGGCATGGAAATGAATGTGGAGAAAACAAAAGTAATGAAAATTTCGAGACAACCAACCCCAGTCACAATAAAGATAGACCAAAAACAAGTGGAGAATGTGAAATGTTTTAAATATTTGGGTAGCTTGTTAACAGATGATGGAAGGTGTACTTGTGAAATTAAATCCAGGATTGCCATGGCAAAAGCTGCATTTAGCAAGAAGAAGAATCTTTTTACCAGCAAATTGGACTTAAATTTGAGGAAGAAACTAGTGAAATGCTACATTTGGAGCATAGCTCTGTATGGGGCTGAAACATGGACACTTAGGGCAGTAGATCAGAAACATCTGGAAAGTTTCGAAATGTGGTGTTGGAGAAGAATGGAGAAGATCAGTTGGACCGATTATGTGAGAAATGAAGAAGTGTTAATTAGAGTCAGTGAGCAGAGGAATATCCTACATGAAATAAGAAAACGGAAGGCTAATTGGATTGGTCATGTTTTACGCAGAAACTGCCTTCTAAAAGAAGCTATCGAAGGAAAGATAGATGGGCGGATAGAAGTGACAAGAAGACGAGGAAGAAGACGTAAGAAGATGCTGGATGACCTTGGGGACAGAAGAGGATACTGTCATTTGAAGGAGAAAGCTCTAGATCGCATTAAGTGGAGGAATTGTTTTGAAAGAGACTGTGGACCTGTCGTCTTGACAGATTACTGATGATGATGATGAACACTGAACAACTGATGATAAATCTGGTTTTGAGAAAACTGCATTTCACTTTTGGGATCCCAGTGTGTGTGCCGTCATTCTACTGAAGATCACACCTATGCAGTTTTACGAGGTGGTACGGGAAAGTTCCAAGACTGTTACTGTTGTAACTGCCTAGGTGAAAGTAGATGAGAGGGAAGGCCAAGGTCACACTTCCGCAAGCCTACTGCATAAGTCTGCCACGTGACAGTGTGCTGTGAATATGTATTGTTTCTACATGAGTGCTTTTTCGACTTCATGTTTCATTTTGTCTGTGACGGATGGCTAAGTCGAGCAACGTGTCTGCACCAAGTTTTGCATTAAGCTTGGTAAATCTGCTACCAAAACCTGTGAAATGATTCGTGAGGCTGTTGTAGAACATTCTTTAAGCCGGATAGCGGTTTTTGAATGGCATTCACATTTCAAGGCCAGGTGAGTGTCAGTTGATGATGACAAATGTTGAGGGTGAACAAGCAACAGCAAAGCAACAGAAAATTCTGAAAAAGTTCGAGAAATAATCAATGAAGAACACTGCCAAACAATCCATAAGCTCGCAGATATTGTTGAGTTCAGTTATGGAGTTTGCCACAACATCTTAACAGAAAATTTGAACTTGCAGTGCACTGGTCCTACATCACAACAACATGCCCAACCTGAAAATCACAGAGTTTGTGACTAACAACAACATGGTTATCGCTCCCCTCCCTCCCTACTCCCTGGACTTTGTCCCCTGTGATTTCGCTTGTTTCTGAAATTGAAAACGAAGCTGAAGGGAAGGCATTTTGAAACAGGGTCTGACATCCTAAAAGAATCGCAATCAGTACTCGACAGCATTAAGGAAAATGATTTCTAGGGTGCTTTTTAAGCACAGAAAAATAAATGGGATTACTGTATACATACCAAGGAAACTATGTTGAAGGAGATGGCAGCCAAAATTTAGTAAGTTAATCATCCAGCATTTCTCGTATTTCTGTATACAGTACCCATAAATTATTGACATGTAATAAAAAACCAACAGAGCCCTTGCTGAGAATATCATCATTTTGTGTTTTCGGGCCCAATCTTTGGAGCGAGAATATTCAGTTGCCATAGTGAGATGCCTATTCCCCCCCTCTCTCTCACACACACGCTGATATTTATAAATTATTATAATTAGTCCATTTACAAAGTAAAAAAAAAAAAAAAAAAAA